TGGGATGGGCAAGTGTACTGCTCCAAAGAGCAATCGCAGTCCGCACACCTCTGGAAATCACCTTTCCCAGGTAGGCTGCTGCGGGAACTGGCGTGCTCGCCTGCTTCCCAACCGCCAGCTCCCACCGAGGTGGGGTGGGGATGGTGTGCGGATGAGTGTGCATATACATACATCTATACGTACGCGGATAGATGCGTGTGTGCCTGTAGATGTAATTAAAGGGAAAGAAATGGCTCTGGAATGCCTCCCGTGCGAGGCAATGTGTATGGACATGTATGGGAAAGAAGGTGAAGCAATCATTTCTGAATCAAAATACACGCCGTGAGCTTGCTTGGAAAGTAACTTTGCCGTTTAATTCTTCCCTTTCTTCCCTCCTCCCTCTTGTTGCCTCACCTAAAGAGCGTCTCTCCATGCCTTTCTCTTCATTTTCCCCTCCGCTTGACGCTTCCCTCAATGCAGAAAGCTTAAAAAGGAGGAAAAATTAAATTAAAAACCCCACCCCAACCTTCTCGAGTGGTTCGGTCGAATGAGAAGTGTCGGGGGCTGGGACAGTAAATCATATCACAATTACACTCAATTATAGGAATAGGTGTCAAGTGACAAACGAATCTGTTTGGAGGGGAAGGAGGGAGACAGAGTTGACGCTTCCCTCAATGCAGAAAGCTTAAAAAGGAGGAAAAATTAAATTAAAAACCCCACCCCAACCTTCTCGAGTGGTTCGGTCGAATGAGAAGTGTCGGGGGCTGGGACAGTAAATCATATCACAATTACACTCAATTATAGGAATAGGTGTCAAGTGACAAACGAATCTGTTTGGAGGGGAAGGAGGGAGACAGAGCAGAGGTGACAGCCCGCAGGCAGCCGGGAAGGCAAAACCCCTCCTCGGAGCATCTTCCAGCCCAGCAAACCCCTCGCTCCCTGACCCACCTGGTCCCTCCGGGCCCGGCCGACCCCTTTCCCCGACGGCAGCGGGGGGAGGACGGTGATGGTAGGTGCTGCTTCCCGGTACCTCTCCCCAGCCTCTTCCCACCCCCCAGTCCCATCCTTCGGTGGGGAAGGACGCAGGAGTCGGGCCGGAGGGGCGAACAGACCCAGATCTTGGATGGAGGGAAGGGACTGGTGGCATTAGTCTTTTGGGGGGGCAAGGGAGGGACACATCGGCTTATTTATTTTCCTTCTTCGGGACAAAG